AAGCAGCAAGTCTACCTTCTTTACTGTTGTCCTTTTCCCTAAATAGAACTGTTGAAGGCCTTAACTGGTATTACGGACATATTTCTTGGGTCTATGCTCATTGGAGGTAAGCAGACACGACACTTAAAGGGTGACACATTTGTATTACTTCTTCTTCTTCTTTTTTTTTTTTAAATAAGAGGTACTGGGGTTAGAATTCAGGGCCTTGTGCTTGCTAGGCAGGTGTTCTACCATTTGAGCCATACCCCCAGCCCTGCATTACTTTTTAAAAAAGTAATGCAAACATTAACCTTTTCCTTTATGTTTTTTTTAAAAGTAGCCATAGACTACTTTGTCAGGCATTGGGAAAAAATTCATTCAAGCAAAGTGACCGCTAGCCTAATCGATCTCTCTCTCTCTCTCTCTCTCTCTCTCTCTCTCTCTCTCTCTCTGTGTGTGTGTACTTGTTTATACATATCAACTGGGTTTGTACTTTTTGAAGCACTGGCTACAAGCCCCACATTTACTTTTGTAATACAAGAAGCCTTTTTAGAAATAGGATTTAAATTTTTATTAGGAATAAATTGCATTAGAGTTATTTACTTAAATGGTTATTTAACATCACTTAAATATGACCACTATGAAACTGTTTTGTCAACTACACCAAATTATTATTTCTTTTTTTTTAGCATTTTATTGTTTTTATTGTTTTATTATACATATGTGCATACAAGGCTTGGGTCATTTCTCCCCCCTGCCCCTACCCGCTCCGTTACCACCCACTCCGCCCCCTCCCTCTCCTCCCCCCCTCAATACCCAGCAGAAATTATTTTGCCCTTATCCCTAACTTTGTTGGAAGAGAAAATATAAGCAATTCCAATTTAGGATATTAAAACATCTAGAGTTAATTTTTGTGCACTATATGTGATAAATACCTAACTTATTATATTTACTGTATTTATTACATAGGATATCCTCTTCCAAGTGACTGCTACTCCCTCTGTCCCTCAGTGAGTCTCTCTGTGTATCTGATGTTTCTGGGCTCTTTATTATGTTTCAAATAGTAAAACTGTCTTTTCTTATGCCAGGTACACATTGTTTTATTTATAAAGCTTTGTTTTATACTTTTAGATGGTATAGCAAGTTTATCTTCATTTTTCTTCAAGATCTTATTGATGCTTCTAAAATAAATTTAGTATCTACTTGTCAAATTCTATGTTGAGACTTTTTCTGAAGGAAATCCACTGAATTTACTGATTAATTTTGAAATGATTGCCATCTTAAGGATTTTCAATTCATGAATACTTTTTATTTGCATTTTTTAACTTTTCAATTATAGTTTACAATTGTCTAAGTTTTGCACATTTGGCTGTATTTTGAAACTATATTTTCAAATTAGTTGCTGCTAGTTTAAAAAAAAGCATGGACATTAATTTTTGTTTTTTGTCTTTTATCTAAACTCTTTGTTGAACTTCTCTATTTGTTCTAAGATCCCTGTAGATTCTCTTGGATTTTGTATATAAGCAGCCATATTTTTTGCATATAATTTATTTCTTTCTCAGGTTTGTTTTCTGTATTTCAAAATGACTAATACTTTTAGTGTAGTAATAGTATGCTTTTTTGTCTATACTGAAATGAATTTGTTCACTTAAAATATGGTGGGAGAAAAGGTAAGTGTATCACCTCAGTTTACTATTTGGTCTCAACTATGGATTTAACTGTATAACTGATACATTTAAAACTCAATTCACTCATTTCATCAGGTACTATTATGCTAACACATCTGTTATTTCCTTTTGTTCTTTGATGACTGAATACGATTTTGTTTAGCTGACCCTCCAAGTCACATGACTCAAGGGGTAATCCATAGTACCTAAGTCAATCCTTGTCAGCAATAGGTTAAAGGTGGTATATACACATGACTCAGTTCAGGCTAGCCAGACATGTGATGTCTTTTATTTCCCCCCCTTTTTTTTGGGTCGGGGGAATTTGAAGATAGAGTAGTTTTAGGAAGAGCGCCTTCTGGAAAAAGTTTCCTGGCTTTTTGAAAATGCACATGAAAGAACCAGTCTTTTTTGTCCTATAGTTTTATTTGCATGTGTAATCATGATATGCTAAGGACTGTAGAGCAAAAAGATTAAAACAACCTGACTCCTTATAACATCCCCCAAGCTCTGAAGTAATGATACCTACCTGAACTGCCTCTAGTTTGGATTATCTTAATTTTTTTTTTTTTTTTTTGGTGGTACTGGAGATTGAACTCAGGGTCTCACATTTGCTAGGCAGGTACTCTACCACTTGAGCCACACCCCTAGCCCTTTATGCATTGGTTATTTTTGAGGTAGGATCTCACTTTATACCTGGGCTGGCCTGGAGTTTGATTTTCCTGTTTGTGTTTCCCTGTGTAGTTGGGATGATAGGCATGTATCACCATGCCCAGCCATTGATTGAGATGGGGTCTTATGAGCTTTTTTGCCCCACTGGCCTCAAACTGTGACCCTCCTAATCTCTTCCTCCTAGGTAGCTAGGATTATAGACTTGAGCCACCATGCCCAGTGGATTATCTTAATATTTGAGTGTAATATTTAATTTATTGTTTTACTTCTTTGATTTTTTTTTGACTTGTGGCTATCAGAGTCTTAACTGAGACACTGGCTGAGCTAAGCCTTCACCAGACCTGATCAAACACAGCCCTTACATGGATGTACATGCAAAACCTCTAGAATCTACAGTAAAAGTGGAGCTGGGTTCTCACTGCAGAAACAGCAAGAATGTAGGGTCCAGAACCCAAAAAGAGGCCTGCAGGGTGTGTCTTGTTAGGTAGCAGAGCTACTGCTTTACTTAACATCTGTGTTATTCTTGTGTACTGACATTTCTAGGGTTTTAAAACATAATGAGCCCTAAATTCTGTACTTTTTCACTCTGTTGGGTTTCCAAAGCTACCCAGCTTTAGATGAGTCTCCAAGACATGTAAAAGCAGCAAAAAAGCAGCAGCATTCGCCTCTGCATACCGATCTCATATATATCCTCTGGGCTACCCTGCTGACCAGCTGCTTAGGAACAAATGGATGCCAAAACACGCTTTGTCCTGAATTAAATGTGAATCACTTCATTCAGTCGTGAACTTCACCTCAAGGCCTGGCCTTTAACTGAACTTTTAACTCTAGACAGCATTTACTTAACTTTAGCTATAAAATGAGGAAACCAGCATAACCTTACACTTTTCTGTAGTTTTTGGATTTAGCATTCAATCACATAAGTGTGATTCAACTTTTCATATTGGTTTGTTTTGAGTATCACAAATTCATCTCTTTTACTCTGTATTTCTCATGGTATCTAATTCCTCAGAACATATTACGACTTTCTTTTAACTGTTTTCTCTTTCCTTAATTCTTTGTTTTATTCTACCCCAGCATTTGAACAACTATTCCTTTCTTTGTTACTGTACCATTGAAGAATTTTCCCATCTCATCTCTTTTATCATCTTTCTCTTTTTAGGTGGAATAGAGACATACTTGCGTTACCTGCTGCATTTGTTGAGTATAGTTTTCTACTCAACAGCATGGATTACATGTACAATATGCCAGGTGTTGTGCTAAGAGCTTTACTGCTCTGTCTCATCTAATGCATGTATCTACCTATGAGGTAAAGGAATTATTTATGAGACTGTTTTTATAGATGAGGAATTATGAGGTTTTAAAAGGGCAGATTATTGATTAAAAGAACCCAACCAAAATTTAGAAATTTGAAACCAGCGTGCACTCTTACAACAATATATCATACTGCCTTTCTAAGGTAATTTATCTTTTCATATCTCATTCTTCCTGAGGTTCCAGGGAATTTCTTTAAATACTTGTTTTTTTGGAGGTACCTGCCCTTGCTAGGCAGGTGCTCTACCACTTAAGCCATACCCCTGGCCTTTTCCTTTCATTATTTCTTAAATAGAGTCTTGCATTTTTACCTGTGGCTGACCTCAGACTGAGATCCTCCTACCCATGCCTCCATGCAGCTGGGATTACAGATGTATACTACCATGCCCAGCTTGTTGGCTGAGATGGGGTCTTACCAACTTTATACCCAGGCTGATCTTGAACCACCATCCACCCAATCTATACCTCTCAAATAGCTGGGAGTAGAGATGTGCATCAGTACACCCAGCTCGTTAAACACTCTTTTTAGAAGCCCAAAGCAATACAAACATATGGTTAAAACAAATAACACAAGGATTAATAACAAGAAGTAACGATTATAGCCACAGTCCTACTTCTCACAGATGACATTTTTCACCATTTGCTTTATTGGTCCTTAATAATTATTTCTGTATCTGCTGCTTATATAATCGTAAATATTTATGCTACTTTATCTACTTGTTTCCTGTCATGAGAGGAATTTAACTCACAACTCTCAGGCCCTCAAACTTGTATCCTTTCTTCCATTCTCCTTATGTAGTAATATCACTAGATAGAAATCTCACTAACTTCAAACAACATAAATAAACATTATTTTGTTGCAACAATCAAATAGTATCTCTTGTTGCTCTGTGTTATAAAGTTACACATCTTAAAATGCTTTGTCATGGCTTTTAAAGGTTTTTCCTTTCTCTTCCCTCCCCTCCCCCTCTCTTCCTTTCTTTTGCTTTCCTTTCCTTTCTTCTTTTGGGTGGCACTGGGGCTTGAACTTAGGGCCTCACACTTGCTAGGTAGGAGCTCTATCACTTGAGCCATTCTCTACTGTATATTCTCTACTTTACTTTTTTCTATTTGTTTTTGCTTTTTGGATTTGAACTCAGGGCCTTTCACTTGCTAGGCAGGAGCGGCACCAATTGAGCCACACCTTCAGATGAGCCAGCAGTCTTTAATCGAATGAAAGGGTTTCTTATCCCTAACCTAGCAGACCCAGGATGGCTCGCTGAGTCTTTCACAAAGGTTATGGGAGTGGACTTATAGCAACTGAGTTGTCTTATTATAGAGAAATACGGCGTATATATTGAAAAGTATTGACGGCTAAATGACAGCACTTACCTGCTGTTGTCCCTGTAGTCGCTGTTGTAGTTGAAGTCGAAGTTGGTTAGGTGCAGCTGGAGGTCTGTTTATAGTTTGCCTTGGCTGCATGCCCATATTGGGTGAAAAAGCACCTCGGGGAGGTGTTACTTGAACAGGCATCGTCCCAAGTGAAGGCTTCTGCCTGACCATGCCTTGGAAAGGGCTAGGGAGACTGGCAGTAGGAGAAGCAGACGAGTAAGGCTGGGAATAGAGGTTGGGTCTTTCTTCCATCATCAAAGGTGGGGTTGCTTGTTGTGGTGGAAATCTCTCTGATAATACATCTAATCCACCCCCCTGTTAGAAAAGAAACCAGAACATTTTATACATAAATTTCTGCCAATAAATTATGCATCCTTTATATAGTTTCAGAGAGCAAGTTATCTCTAGAAAGTGTCTTCTTAATAGTCATTCAGAACTCATGTTCTCCAGAAGTTTACCACGCAAAGGAATCATCTGTGAAAGCTGCTTTTGAAACATGAGTAACAGATTAACTGAAATGTTTTAAATCTCAGTAGAGGTGAAGATACAGTTAAAATAAAGGTCATAAATCAATGAAATGAAACTACAAATCTGAAAAGATTTTCACTGTAAAGGCTAAAGATCAACAAATTTATACTTAACAGGTTACCATGAGAAGAAGAGTCCTAAAAAAGGAAAGCAATAAGGCATTTTTCTATCTCAAATACAGAATTCATGCTTTTACCTAATTTGAAAAAAATACATAGATGTTATAACAGAAGACCATAGAGTTATGGCTTTTAAATGTTTAACTATTACCCACTGTAAGAAATATAATTTAAACTGTGACCTAGTGCATATATGTTATAACTGAAAGAGTTCCAGGAAACAAAACCACCCCATTTTATGGGTTATATGTTCTGAAGCTTTGTATTCTACACACTTCTCCATTTAAAATAGTGATCATGATGCACTAAATTGATTTTATCATACCACAGTCTGAAACATGCTAACCAGGAAGTTGGAATGTCATGGACTATAAGTTTAAGACAAATATGAATGAAGGATGAAGTAAACTTTAATAAGTGATGGTACAAATCTGGATTTGATTCTAGCGGGCCTTGTAAGATTCTGCTTCCAGAGCAAACTGCTGAGACTTTCTAATTCTATTTCTAGTTCTAAGTACCATGATACTTTTTGTTTAAAGAGGCCAATATTTATTGCATATTTTGATAACTTTCATAGGGGTAAATTATAAAGCAGTTAGCTAAAACTTAGCGGGAACAATATTGAAAAAAATCTTCTTAAAAATCACTTTCTAGCTTCTCAGGGCCACTTTATTTAGGTAATAGCAAGTGTATCAGTACCTGAACAAGTTTGTCAATTCCCAGTGCCCTGTCTAGTTCAGCGAGCTCAGTTTCATCTTTGCCACTGAGGAAGGATACCAGCTGTTCCAGAAGAGCCTTCTCATCATTTCTTCCTTCTGCTGTTGTTGGTGGGCAGAGAAGCTCATCTAATTGTGAACTAATACACTGGCTGCAGGATCGAAAGATAAGAAAGTTTCAGACCGACAGAGGAAAAAATGACTCAATCTTACGAATGTAAATAGATACACGTACATACATTTGCACAAATCTGGCAATAGGAAGTTCTCTGGGAAAATGCTTGGCAATGAATTACAATGCAATGAAATGTTCTATGCTTAATGTGCAGGAATTAAAATAACATTTTGGTTGTTGTTTTGTTTTTTGTTTTGATGCTGAGGATTAAATCTAGGGACTCCTGCATGGTAGGTAAGCAATCTACAACTGAGCTATGTCCCTAGCCTCAGAAAGAACATTTAATGTATAGATTTAGTATAGCTTTCATTCTTTTATCAACAGTGAACTTTAATTACACATTCTTCATGTCAGCTTATAGAAATAGCCTGAAAAATTAACCAATTCTAGTTAAGAAAGTGGAAAGAGTTTTTAGTAAAAGTAAAAATCAGATAAAAACTCAGAAAAAATAATTAGCCTATATTCAGATTTATTCTACATATTCTATTTATCGTGGATAACTGAATCATAATAAAAAAGTACATATTATTTTATTTAACTTTCAACAATGACCAAATCTTATTGATAACATGCTAGCAGTTAAGCAGAAAAAAAATGATTCATTGACTCATCTAGAAAATAAGTAGTTTAATCCAAACTGGTTACAAATAATATATAAAACTTTGAAATATGCAGAAAATAATGCTAATACTAGTTACACTGATAATATTACCAAGGATTCTTCCTCCAAGAAGGTAAATACCAACACATCCCATAGCTAAGGCTCTAATTAGAGCACACCCAATAAAACCTAGTCTTCCTTTGGTTGCCATGTACGTGATATATTCTGTGCTATGTAATATAGCTGCCTATGTGAATTAAGAAATTAAATTCTAATCAGGATAGAGCACTGAGTAGATGATTTTCCTCTCTTATATGTTCTTGCTCCAAACAAAGAGAAATTCTAGAAAAAATTACATAACTAAAAGCTTAAGGACAACATAATTGTTGTTATAAGTCAATTCATCATCAGGCCCCAGGAACAGCATGGCAATCAAAGCAAAATAAGTCACAGATCAGCTATAAACAACTGCATACCGTGTCAATCTCTTGGTAACTACAATGTATACTACTGTCCCTGTGGTCATGCAGTATTGAATCCACTTGGCCTAAGTGTCCTTCCTCACCTCCCCATTTATAAACATTTACAGCTGATTTATGAAAAATAACAATGTAGACTAGAATCCAATTTGAAAAGGTAATTCTTGGCTTAGAAGTTGGTATCTGATACCTTATAAAATACAAAGTGCATTACTTACTCTTCTGGTTTATTCTGATTTACAGTTGTCACAGCATTATTTGCCCATGGAATCTGATCGCCTGTTCCTGGTTGCCCAAACTGGCTATCAATTGCTTCCAATTCCAGCTCAGGTAATCCTGATTGGAGAAGAAAAGGCCACAGTTACAATGTCCACCAAAACCCCCTACTATTTCTGGTCATGTTTATGTTCCTACCACAAACATGAATAAGCATGTATATATGTAAGGACAAGCAAGAGGGAGCTTGAAGTGAGAGTAGAAAATAAGCCTTTGGGGACCTTTAATCAATCCATTAATACTTACTTTTTTTTTTTTGAGATGAGGTCTTGAACTCCTGAGTTTTTGTAACCCTCCTGCCTCAGTCTCCAGTGTAGGTGAGGCTAAGATGTACACTCCACATCTGGCTATTACTTGTTATCATCTTTGCAAAATACTCAACATTATACTTTATCCATTTAAAATCTAGCTAAAGGAAAACTTTTATCCCCATTAGCCACAATGATCACAGGAAAAAAATTATTTTGGTGGTATGGGATCTGAACTCAGAGTCATTTCATGCTTGCTAAGGCAAGTGCTCTATTACTTGAACCATGCCTTACACCCTTAGCCCTGCTTTAGGTTGTTTTTCAGATAGCGCCTTGTGCTTTCACCCAGCTAGCACTGGACTGTGATCCTCCTAACCTCTACCTCCTGAGTAGCCGACATTATAGGATGTGATACCACACTAGGCTTGATTTTTGAGATAGGATCCTACTAAATTTTGTTTGTTTGACTGGGTTGGCCTTGACCCATGACCCACTTATTTCTGCTTCCCAAGTAGCTGGGATTACAGGTGTGTGATATATTATTTTATATTCTACAATATATTACATAATTAAGAAATTTCTACACACCAAGTAGAGCATTGTCTTAAAAAGGAGGGTGGCTTTTGCAAATTCCACTCCTCCAACAATTGATTCTTATGTTTGCAGTTAATTTTCTTCAGCTGTTGAAAAGGAAACTTCTGGCTCAGTTTTATGTGATATTTGACAATAAATGTGCAATGGTTACAGTGCTTTTTTTTTTTATAAAAACATGTAGACAAAGGACTAATTTCTCTATTAAATAACAAACTTCTATAAATCAATAAACAAAAAACTAAATAACTCAGTAGATAAATGATCAGAGACTATGAAGCTCATAATCATTTCACTGGAGAGAACCGTGAAATCAATGACAAATGATCAACCTAATTTGTAATAAAAGAGCAATTTTTGAGATACTTGGGAAAAAAAAAAACCCGTCAGACTGACAAAGATGAGAAAGTGCATAAATCAAAGTAGGGAGAAGGCATAAAGAAACAGGAATATAAAGTAGTATAATTTCTGAGAAGGGCCATTTAACAACATCTATCTATCTATCTATCTATCTATCTATCTATCTACCTACCTACCTTCCTACCTACCTACCTATCAATCTCTCTGTCTATCCATCCATCCATCTGTCCATCCTTTGATTCATTATATTCAGAATTTACATTTCAGATATATTCTCATATGTTATCAGTTTTCTCTGTACAAGACTACTCATTACAGCTTTGTAATGGCAAAACATTCTAATCATTAGGTCACTGGTTAAGTAAATTCTGGTACAGATATAAAAAATTACAGGTCATTCTTTACTGCTGATATAGCATCCAGTGAATGTGTACAGTATGATGCTATTTGTATTAAAAATGGAAGTCTATGCCTGTTAACAGAATTTTGGAGGTAAAGAAACAAATAACATTGCTTCTAGGACAAAGAGACTTTGCAGTACACATGCTTTTTTTGATGTTGTTTTGAATGTAGAAATATGTGAATATCTTAATTACTAAAATAAAACAACAACAAAAAAAATCCCCACACAATGTATAACCTCCAAAACGACAAAGTTAAAACTGATGTTTTTAAGTACTGGAAATGTTGCATGTGAAACTCATTATTTTTACAGTTACACACATTTTAATGCACTACAAATTAATAGGATTTAAAAAATAATTATCAAAGAGTGTGTATGTCCACAGAACATAAAAACGTTTGCTCTGGTGATGCTGTTAATCCTCAAATATTTTTGGAAATCTTCAGGAACTCATAATGAGTGTACAATTCCTTCAAGAAAAAAAAAAATCACACAGGTATACTTAATTTTAGTTTTGATTTAAAAAGCAGTAATACTATTTTTAGATCAACAAATTTGGTTCTAAATAATTCTGGAAATTTTTGAAAGTCAAATTTGCCCTCAAAGACAAGGAGTTAGAGACAGTCAAAAGGGCACTGCAGAGCATTTGAAGGTACGTTGCACACATTTTGATAGTAAGGCATCTACGTTGAAAAAGCAGTACTAACCTGATGTGCTCTTATGGTACATTTCTAACAAAGCTGTTTAAATCACTTGGCTGCACTGCACGGCTATGTGCGTACAAACATAAACAGCATGAAACAGTATGTTTTGAAACCAGGCAGATTGAGATGTATGGTTCTACACATTGAACATGCAACTTTGGGCAAGTTTTTGGGAATATGTGTATTTTTTTCTTTTTCATCCTCTGCGCCTTAGTTTTCTCACTCATAAGTGGACCTTATGAGTCCACTTACGGCGTCCAATATAGAGGATTTATCACCTACATTTTATTCTCTCCCCAAAAATATCAGTGAAATAACAAAAGGAAGAGAAAGGGAAAAAATCCATAGTTGAGAGAAAGGCAAAAGAAATTATCAGGATAGCCTACTAGAACAATGAAGAATTCCTAAAAGAGAAAGCACAGGTAGGTGGTAACAAACTGATGGTGAAACTTCAACTAAATTAAGAATCAGAAGACAGAGAGGCTTTTCCAAAGTGGGTTTTCCCAGAAGAACTCCAGAATAACTCTTAAGCTCATCGGTCATTTCAGTGAGTAAAGGAACAGGCTGTGGTGGTTGCTGGCATTATTAAAGGACAATGGACAGCTGCTACCAGGCCTTTGCTCTGAGTGCAGATGACTCTGGCATCTGCCCATGGGATTAAAATGGTGAATTTGTGACTCATAGTGGGAGTACTGCCTGGGAAGTCTCCCAAAGTTGGTGCAAGGGCTCCCACATGGGATTTTTCCTATTAGCAAGTCCTATTCCCTCTCAACAACTGAGAAATGGGGCTTCTATGATCAGAAATACATTCGCTGCCAGGGGAAAATGGCTTCTCATTTTAAAGAAACATGATAGCTACCAGTATTGTTTTTATTGGTTTTTTTTCGGTCATATATAGAGAGAGCCAAAATTCACTATCTAATTTGCAGGAAAGAGAGATAGGAAGTTTAACATAAACAAATTTTGAAGAAAAAAAAGAGTAGTACAGAAAATGGATGAACCTTGAGGTAATTATAATATCATTACACAGATTAAAAGGTCTAATACATTCATAAAAAGTAGGAGAGTCTATATTTCAAGGACAGAAAGAGAGGACGAGCATGAAGAATTAAGAAGGAGGTGACAAGACAGCTGAAAAACACAGAAGGAACAGCAAGTCAATGTAGAGAAAAGTAAGAAACAGTCTGCAATTCCAATTCTGGCCCCCCAGGGGTGTTTATGTGTGTGTGTAGTGGGGGAGGAAAAAGTGGAGGCCTCAAACATAAGGAAAGCCAGGCAGCCCTGGAGACAGCAGAGTGACAGTCCTAGCCACAGGAGAAATCCAAGGTTCTAGGTCTTAAATCCAGTGTAGGATTTGGTGTGATAGTGACTCCTTCTGCATGGGAGGCTAGCATTGCAGAAGAAATTCATCACATAGTTCCTCCTATCTCAGAGTGCAATAGCCAGCCACCTTGAGAAAAGGCCTATGATTTGAACCTGAGCTGCTCCAAGGACTTGAAAACAAGGAATAATCACAAGTCAGGGAGCCTGGGAACACTCTACCACAGTGTCTAGGGCTACAAGAAACAGTCATGGAGAAGAGAGGATTGGACACAGACCTGCTAAATTTAAGCACCAGGTACTTGTCAGTGGCCCTAAATCTGTGGTGAGGAACGAGCGCCATTGCCTATGAGGACTTGAGAGGTCCAAGCTTGTGGTCAATGGATTGTTTGGTCTCTGGGGAGCTGCCTTGGTCTGGGCAGCTCAATTTCTGCAGCTTCTTCCCTTCTGCAGGGTCTGAAAGCCCTGATGAGAAAGGGAGAGTTTTCATTCCCTTGGTCTTCCCTGTCCAGTGCTCTGTTTGCTTCTCTTATTCTCTGACTTACGCAGGGTATATCTTTAGCTTAGATGTTTGCTACCTCTCAGTGCACAAACTGGGGGACCGTTAGAGCAAGTGGGAACCTACCAGCCTACAGGCCTCAAAACTCAATGGGTCCAGCAACAGAGCCCAGTATGTGAAGAAGGCAAACTTCTAAAGTGAATGCAGCCTGACAATGACAACATCCCCTTGACTGGCCAGGCACCCAGCCACAGACAGCACCAATCTGTATAGTAGGCACAAAGAAAACCTAAGTTTCGTATACCTGCTGCCAAAGTGAGTACAAGGAGAAACTAGAACAGAATCCTGCTACAACCCACTACACCCCAATATTAGAGGACCTAGAAAGAAGCATCTCATTCTTTCATCTTTTTTTTTCTTTTTACTATATTTTTTAGTATTTTTACTTTATCTTTAAGATTAAGGGGAACAGGTACTAGAGAAAAGGTTAGATCAAAAAGAATTAACCTAGAAGGTAACACCCACGCACAGGAAATCAATGTGAGCCAATGCCCTGTATAGCTGTCCTTATCTCAACCAGCAAAAACCCTTGTCCCTTCCTGTTATTGCTTATACTCTCTCTACAACAAAATTAGAAATAAGGGCAAAATAGTTTCTGCTGGGTATTGAGGGGGTGGGGGGGAGAGGGAGGGGGCGGAGTGGGTGGTAAGGGAGGGGGTGGGGGCAGAGGGGAGAAATGAACCAAGCCTTGTATGCACATATGAATAATAAAAGAAAAAGAAAAAAAAAAGATTTTCATGTTTTCTTTCTTATTTCTTTTACCTTTGGTTGTAGTGACAGTAGTGATACACAGGTTAGGGGCTAGAGTTGGGCAGAGAATCAGAAGTGACTCTCCTTCCCTTTATATGTCGGTGTATTTTTTTTTCTCAGCTTTCTTTTCCTTTCTTTTGTTTTCTTCTCCAATCCTTAATTCTTTTTTTCCTTTCTTGTACCCAACTTATTTCCTGCCTTTGTATTATTTTCTTTCCTGCCTTTGCCTAAACATTGTGGATGGATGTCTGCATTTATTGTCTTCCCCTTACCTTCCTGGTTACCTTCCCCTCTATGCCTTTGGTCTTTGTAAACTTAGCAGCATAAAGTGCAAGGGAATCTAGCCTATTTACATACTTTCACATGTAAAAGTATGGATCTATATTCAGTGAGGGAAATCTCAGGAGAGACAAAAGAGCCATTCACCTCAATAGAAACTGAATTAAAAAACAGCCCAGTTCACAAGATTTTATCACTATTATTTTCTTCATATAGGATCATGATTCTTATAGAACATTTTTCTATTAAAAATGCATCTGTAAGTTTTAGCAGTCTAGTCTCTACTATAAAACTACTCTATGTAAAACAGAAGAACAGAACACTCATTTCTTTTATCCCATTTATTGTTCAAATATTTGGCAAACATTTTATTTCTACATGTTACATAACTTACTGTTATTATTTTTGCTTTAAACAGTTTTTTTCTCATTTAAAGAAAACTGTCCAAATGAAAAAAATTTCCATTTAATTGTACCTTTACTATATCTAGTTCTTTTCACCATTATATGAAGATGAAAGATTTCAACTTTATTCATTTTCTTTTAGCTTCAAGAATAGTGTAGTCGGCTGGTGACAAATTTTCTCAGCTCTGGAAACATGTTTACTTCAACTGTATTTCTGAATGAAACTGGATATAGAAGTCAATTGTTTCCTTATCTTTGCTCATCTCACATTATTTTTATATCTTTTTCATCTTTATTTCATTTTCAATAATAGGTATAAGAGACCATTTTTCTACTACTGCTTATCTGACAATGTGTGGTACTAGGGATCAAACCCAGGGCCTTGTGCATGCTAGGCAGACTCAACCACTGAGCTAGATCCCCAGCCCCATGTTTGTTTCTAAGGTTTTTGTTTTGACCATGGATTTAAAAATTTTTGTGTAGGTAATTTGATTATGAAATATCTTAGAGTAATTATAGGCATATTAGGCTAGTTGATATTTCCCATATGTGACTGAGGTTCTTGCTATCTTTTGGTCTTTTTTCTTTCTCTCACTTTGAATAGTTTTTCTTTACTATGTTTTCAAATTCACTGCTCTTTTTTTCCTGCAGTGTCTAATTAATTGCTGTTAAACCACCCAATAATTTTTCATTTCAGATACTGCATTTTTCAGCTCTACTAGTTTTATCTGGCTTTTCATGTAGTTTTACAGCTCATCCTTTCCTTATTATGTTCATATTTTCCTTTAAGTCCTCAAATATATTTATTTAAAACAATCTTCCTGCTAATTCTAACACCTCTGTCATTTCTGGATCTGTTTCTATTAACCATTTTTTTTTCTCTTGGTTATGGGTCAGTTTTTTACTACTTCATGTGTTTATTGATTTTTTTTTATTTGATTCTGGAAATTATGAACATTACATTGTTAGGTGAATGAGTTTTGGTGTCTTCATTAAAGACTATTTGAGAGTCATTCTCTAAGGTAATAGTTTTACATGTATATCAACTTGATCCTTTTGAGAGTTGTTTTTAAGGTTTGCTAGGGCAGGTGTACAGTAAAGCTTTGCTTTTGAGATAGGATCTCACTATGTCCAGGCTGGCCTCATATTAGCTTCTCCTGCCTCCTGAGATCAAGATATATGCTTAGTTTAGAATAAATCTATTCTTTTTTTTTTTTCCCCTTCCTGTTTTGGTTATCCTCCAATGCTGGGAATGGAACCCAGGGCCTCATGAACTGAACGCTAGGCCAGCTGTCTGTCCCCAGTCCCAGCCCCCTCAGCTCTGTTTTGTTTATTTATGTATTTATTTGTGTACTTGTTCATTTCTGTATTTATTTAGTTGCTTATCAGTGCTGGGGTTTGAACTCGGCCTTGTGCTTGCTAGAGAGGCACTCTGCCATACAAGCCACAACCCTCAATTCTGAAGGATTTTAAAAAAAAAATTTTCTTCTTTTAAACATACATCTTAAACAAAATCCATGAATCTATAAACCGTCATCTAGGATCAGTTCAGTGTCTCATCAATCCAATTCCGCTTTTGCAGTGAGTTCTGAGATATATAGGTTAGAATAAATCTATTCTTAAGGTAAGGGCTTCATATTTAGAAAGCTCTACCACTCTCACTGGTAGACCAATCCTATGTAGGTTCTGGTTGTTCAGCTCATAGCTTGCTGATAGTTGTTCTTTTCTTAGAAACTGTTCTATTCATAGTATACTATTCATCCAAAGAGTCAAAGGGACCTTTGTACAAATTTCTTCAGCTCTTTTTCTATATATCCTTCTCTTCTCCAGCACTCTGCTCAGTAAGTCCTAACTGCCCCCAGTCACAGTGAGCTCTGATCATGGTGTTGTCAGTTCAGTAAGAGATCCATGCTCATTTTGGGTTTCTCTTACTTGCACTTGGTTTGGTAAATGTCTCCAAGAAAAAGTCTAGGCTGTCAGGCACTGGTGGCTCATGCCTATAATCCTAGCTACTCAGGAGGCAGAGATCAGGAGGATCATGGTTTGAAGCTAGCCTAGGCAGACAGTTAGCAGGACCCTAACTTGAAAAAACCCAATATGAAACAGGGTTGGTGGAGTGGCTTGAGTATGCCTGCCTAGCAAGCACTGCCAAACCTCAGTACCATGAAAGACAGAAAGAAAAGAAAGAAAGAGTGAGGGAAAGGGAAAGGGAAAGGAAAGGAAAGGAAAGGAAGGGAGAGGCTGGGCTGATTGGAGCGCTCACCTTGTTTCCCTTCTCACAAGTTTCTCACTGCTTATTGTCTGGAAAGAACTGTTTCATGTATCTACTTGTTTTTTGTTTGTTTTGTTTTTGACAGTCACAGGCACTGATGGCTCACACCTGTAATCTTTGCTACTTGGGATATTAAAATTGGGAGGATTATGATTTGAGGCCAGTCTGGGCAAATAGTTCATGAGACACCCCCCCATCTCCAAAAATAACCAGAGCAAAATGGACTGGAGGCGTGGTTCAAGTGGTAGAGTGCCTGTTTTGTGAGCGCCTAATTTGTAAGTGCAAAGCCCTGAACTCAAGTTCCACAGGGAGGAAAAAAAAGGAGTGTTGCCTCAACACGTACTGTTCAGCCTAGAAGTGGGTCTGGCAGTAGTAGACTGAAGTGAAGCTGGCCCGATCTCCGGTTTGATGTTTACACTGGTGACTGCACCATCCATCCTGTCTGTCTCGCATAAGCCTGGCAACTGTGCTGCCTTCTCCAGTGTAGGCAGTAACTGATCAAAATGGTCAAGTTCAGCTGTAAACTAAGAAGGGAAACCAAAGTTAGAGAAAGTATTTCATATTATACCTGCAAGAACACAGAAAAAAAGTTGTTCTTTTAAACTCTATGAACCAAATGTGACTATGAGAGAATGAAAAAAGGAGAAATAATTAGAATGACTGGGGTTTCTTTGAAATTATGTAACCTATTACACTGGGAAAAACTGGATACTTATGATAAAATGTTAATATGCTACAGGATATAACATACATATAATATTTATTAGACTTCATGTCCCCAGCCATAATAATATTTATTTAATACATATCGGTACAAAATTTGCATATTGGAAAAAGACTGGACTGGAAAGCAATGGCATTGTGATTTTTTTTTTCTGTCACAGTTTAAGAGATTTTGTAAAATGACTTACTTTAAATTTACATTATTGTATCTTTTTATGATTTAAAAAGTTTGGGAAAGTTTAAAACACACCAGTGTACTCACTTCAAAAATCTCGGAAAAGTCATTTCCCATTTAAGCATTTAATGATTCAACAAATATATCTTCTAGACTTACCAGGGAATCTGTATATCTGTCTGAGGTTATGTATGAAAAAACCTGGCCTTTATTTACAATAGCATTTTAATATGATTACTTTAATATAATTAATTAACATAAAATCTCTATCTGGTCTCACTTAATTGAACAAAAATTTCTGCAAAGGCATTTTTTAAATGTCAGACTTCTTTCAAACTTACATTCTTACAGTTCAGACATATTATCACATGTAGCAGTAGCTCCTTCTCTTTCATTGATGAGTAACATACTACTGTGTGAATATGTCACACCACAACTATCCATTCCTTCATAATGCAGTTTTGGCTTCTTTACAGTTTTTGCTAATCCAAGTAAAGCTTCTATGAAGGTTTATTTTTGTGTGTGTGTGTGTGTGGTAATGGGTGTTCAACTCAAGGCTGAGTGTGTCCCTGTACTCTATCTTGAGCCACGTCCCCAACACTTTTTGTTTTAGTTGATCTTTCAGTTAGGGTTTTGTGCTTTTTGCCCAGGCTGGCCTTGGACTATGATTCTCCCAATCTCAGCTTCCCAAGTAGCTGGGATTTTTATAGGCATGAGCTACCTTGCCTCCCATGAACACTTCTGAACATGTCTTCTGTTACATGTATGCAGAAAGTATTAACCATAAAGGAAAAGGGCAAATTTAACTATATTAAAATGAAAATTTTCCCTTCTTCAACAATAGTATCTAAGAAAATAAAAAGGCAAGCCAATGTATGGAGACAACATATGGAAATAAATACTCAATAAAGGATTTATATCCGAAGTACATAAAGAACTCTTATAAAAGTCAATAAGCAAAGTATAACACATTTACAAAAATAGGCAAGAGGTTAGATGAGGCAAGTTACAAAAGAAGATATCCAAATGAGTGAAGAACACTTGTCAGAGAAATGCAAATTAAAATGATGAGCTACCTATAATGGCCTGGGATGGCTCAATTTAAAAGATTGGCAATACCAAGCATTAGCAGGTAGAAAATTGCATTAGCTACTAAAGATGAGTGTATGCATATCTTACAATAGTGCAATTCTATGTATAAACTCAGCAGAAATGCATGCATGTGGGCACTAAAACAGACGTACCAGAATATATGATAAACACAATGGCATTATTTTGTAAAGCTGTTACTTTTAAAGTTAATTTTAAAGAGAGAGTTTTAATATAGTTATTATTTAAAGTTGCATTCTGCATAAAAAAATGTTACCAGTTTTGTTGTACCAAGAAACATGAGCCTTAGCCTATAATCAAAGAGCATACATATAAAGAAACAGTCAAAATAATGTTACTACAGATTGTAAATTGAGACAACACAGAGCCTGTGAGAAGCGGAAAGGAGCTGTCTGATTAGGGTTATTTGGAGAAGGCTTTGAGAGATGCCAGAAGAGTTGGTTTGTGAAGGATGCACAGAGAGGAGAGTAAGGCAGGAGATGCTCAGAGAGACATGAATTAGCCCAGGAAGAACAAAGACTTCTGTGTGAATATAGTATGCCTGGAGGAAGAGAGAGACTTTTGTGAGATGAGGATAGAAAATCAAACTGTTTCAAGAAACTAAGTGTGAATCTTGTTTCTCAGTGGAGAGTTTTGTTGATAAGCTGCATTGTAAACACACTGTTAGCTATTGTGTGAATGCCTCTATTCTATATTCAAACAATGTGGAAACTCCTAAAGGGGAGGGACCATTTTTTCCCTTATATTCCTTAAGAGTTCATAAGCCTGTTAATTTTCATACCAATTCTACCTCAACCTAAACACAGAGGTTTCTCATCTAGACTCTTTTATTAAAAGGTTTATTTTTATTTACTTCTGTTTCAGGGCATGTTAAATAAAGATAATATTCTGCTATACAGAATATTCAAGTCCCTCTATTCTGTTGAGGGTGGTTAGAATAAGATGAGAAAAGCAACCCTAGAAAATGCTTCAACCGAGACAGCCCACAGAATGGAAGAAAATCTTTGGCAGCCATGTATATGCATTCTTTGACAGAATGCATAGGGAGCTCAAAAAACTAAACTCAAAAATCAGTGAGCCAATGAAGAAATGGGAAATGATCTTATAGGTAAAGGACCTGAAAAACTCCAATGAAAAACTCCTAGACATTATAAACACCTTTGGCAAAGTAGCAGGATACAAAATCAATTTACAAAAATCAGAAGCCTTTCTATATACCAACAATGAACAGACTGAGAAAGAATATAGGAAAACAATTCCATGTATGACAGCCTCAAAAAAGTACCTAGGAATAAACTTAACAATGGACACAAAAGACCTCTACAATGAAAACTATAAACCATTGAAGAAAGAAATCAAAGAGGACTACAGAAGATGGAAAGATCTCCCATACTCATGGATTGGCAGAATAAATATTGTGAAAATGGCTATGTTACCAAAAGCAATTCACATATTCAATGCAATCCCAATCAGAATCCCAATGACATTTATCGTGGAGACTGAAAAATCAACCCTAAAGGTCATTTGGAAGCACAAAAGACTGTGAGTAGACTAGGGAATACTGAGCAAAAAAGGGCAACACTGTGGAGGTATCACAATACCCCTGTATCAACTTTAAAATTTCAGGCCTTTTATTAAGGTGCTTAATCCACTTTGAGTTAATACTTGTACAGCATGAAAGACATGGATGTAGTTTCAGTTTTCTGCAAGCAGATATACAGTTTTCCCAGCAACATTTGTTGAAGAGGCTGTCTTTTCTCCATCTTATGTTTTGGATGTCTTTGTCAAAAATCAGATGGGTGTAGCTATGTGGATTCACATCTGGGTCTTCTATTGTGTTCCACTGGTTTTCATGTGTATTTTGTGCCAGTACTATACTGTTTTTTTGTTATGGTTCTGTGGTATAGTTTGAAGTTGGGTCATAAAGGAAATGCAAATCAAAACCACATTAAGATTCCAGCTCATTCCTATTAGAATAGCTACCATCAAGAGCACAAACAACAAATGATGGTGAGGATGTGGGGAAAAAAGGAACCCTCATACACTGCTGATGGGAATGTAAATTAGTATAACCACTATGGTAAACAGTATGGGGGCTCCTCAAAAAACTAAAAATAGTACTGCTGTATGATCCAGCAATACTACTCCTAGGGATATACCAGAAGGAATGTAAGTCAGTTTACAATAAAGGCACCTGCACACCCATGTTTATTGCAGCGTTATTTATAATAGCTAAACTATGGAAACAGCCAAGATGCTCCACTACTGATGGATAGATTAAGAAAATCTGGTATTTATATATAATGTAATTTCATTCAGCCATAAAGAAGAATGAAATTTTGTTTTTTTCCAAGTAAATGGATGGGAACAGTAGAACATTATCTTAAGTAAAGTTAATCAGGTTCAGAAAGCCAAAGGCCACATGTTTTTCTTCGTATGTGGAATAACAGACCCAATACAAATACAAGCAACATTATGAAAACAAGTCATGCTAAGGGGAGGTAACTAACAGGAGAGGAAGGGTAAAAGAAGAAAGTTAAGAAGATGAATATGGTTAATGTACTTCCTATACAAGAATGAATATAGAATTTTTAAACTTGCTGAAATCATAAAAAGAGAACTAAGGCAGAAAAGAGAAAAATAAAAGGGATGAACCAATTTGGGTTATAACACATATAGACATGGAAATGTCACAATGAAACACACTGCATAGCTATCTTAATCAAACAAAAGTATTGTTTTTTTGTTTTGTTTTTTTCTCCAAAAGCAGAGAACAGGAAGGCAAAACAGGTCCTGTCCATGTGGTTGGTACCAGCGGGAGGGGGGAAGATATAAAACGGAGAAATGAGACCTGTTGAAACTATTCCAGGAAGGGGGAAACAGGAGATAAAAGACAATGATGGAGGAGGGAATTCAACTATGATATATTGTAAGAACTTTTGTAAATGTCATAATGTGCCCCCAGTACAATGATAATAAAAAAATAAAAAAGAAAATGCTTTAACCAGGTAGTCTTGTCTAACTCTTCACATTTTCTCTCCCATTTTGTTTATATCAGAGACTCCCAAACTTAGCTACATATCAGCTTTCTCTGAAGAGCTTCTTTAAAATGCAGATTTCTAGGTTCTAACCCAGAGCTGGATTTGTGGAGTTAGGGGGAAGGGGCAGGGAAAGCATTTTTGAAAATGTTCAAAGATGTGAAATCTGATTTTTTTTTTTAATAGAAAGAAAAATCTACTTTTTTAGAATGCCACTTAACACTGTGGTCCTGTAACGCTCTAAAGAGAATGTTTGAGAGCATCCTATGATTTTATAACCATTGATACTAACTGCTCAGTATATCCTGAAAAGATAAGACAAAATAGCATGACGCAAATTTGATCTACAGTTGCAGTAGAGTAAGTAAAAAACAAAAAATAACAAGGAATGATCGATCATTCTGTGAAGCAAGGAATTACCAACCTGACTCTGGGACTCCAGTTTAATTTCCTCAGGAGCAGGTTTGGTCACTGGGGTAGGGTTTGTGTTACAAGGATCCATCTGTTCTTTCTTTTCCACTTTCACCTTTACATCATCCAGGCTCAGGTTTGGGGTTGATCTTAAATCTTTCTCGTCTTTATCTAAAAGGTAGCGCAGGAGCTGATGGTCTTTTGATTCTTTTTTCTTTGAAGCATCCAGTTCTAGTTTTATACTGGAGCTCCCTTGGGTCTGTCCAGTCACTGATACAGAAGTAGGTGCACTATCCTTTTTATCAGGCTCCACAGACAAAGTGGTGAGATCTGAAGGGCTACCCTCCTGTAAAAGCCGGTGCAGAATTTTGTGCCGCTCGGTCAACGAGCTGTGAGAGGAGGGGCAAGTACCACCTGAAGAGTTAGCAGAAGTGGTGTTGGAAGTGCCAGTGCAAGACAGTACATCTTTGCAGCTTGGATCTATATCAGCATGCCGTAACTGTTGTTCTGCAGTTGTTGTCAATAGCTGTACCAGTTTGTGACTGGTCTGAGAGTATTTACTGTCTCCATCTGAGAGTCTATCACTGTTATGCAGAAGACCCGAATCCAGAGGTTTGCCATCACTAGCGCTACTGTCAGATTGAATCATTTCATTTAAAATGGATGCAATTTCTTTGTTATCTTTGGACTCTGCTTTTGCTGGTTGTAGGTTTAATCTGCTAGGTGAATTCTGTGAGCCCATTTGCCGAAGGACTGGAGAACTGGCAGAGAAGCCAACAGAGTTACTGGGCCCTTCATTCATACCCTGTAAAGATGTTACTGGGATGCCTGAATAAGATCGGTTGTTATTATTATTACAGGTACTACTTGTAATGCCACCTGGGGAACTTAATGTCGGAATATTTGGAGGAAATGAATTGTTTGGCATCCTGGCCCTTGTTGCCAAGCCAGAAGTAACCTGTCTCCTTGGAGACATGAACTGGGCTAGAGAAATTCCTGTACCTTCCATAGGAGAATTATTGAGGTTTAAGGAGGGATTACTGCTCTGGGAACCTGCCTGTCCCTGGTTTAAGGCAACATTGGCTACAATCTGATTTCCAGATGAGCATCCAAAACTCCCTTGGCTGTTGCTAGAATTACTATGACTGTTGCTGCTGTGAAGGTCTGAGCTCTGTTGGCGGTTCACTCTGGTGGAGACCATGCTGTTGTTGGATGGTGGCAATGTGGATGAACGGGCCACACCATGAGCTGGAGAGATACTAGGATTGACTGAGGGGTTTACTCGGGAAATTGACATTCCAGAATTAGTGTCATCTTGAGGAGACAGCCCACTGTGTTCCCTAGGGGGAAAAAGACATTATTATTCAACCATCTTCATTTGTTTCTGTTCAAATATGATGCTATTATAAGAAAGACCATTAACCTCATTAATATTGTAAGCTATCAAGTAAAGAGCTTCTGTATCACCTCAAGTTAAGGAAAAATAGCAGACGGTCAGTACTATTGTGAAATGTCAGCACTAATTCCTAAGAAAACTGTTTACAGAGTCTTAAATTTGATAACAGTCCCTGTTATTTGAAAAGAAATCTTCCTTGGTATTAGGAAAAATGCAATAGATATACTTTTTTGCTTTTCTAAACTTAATATGAATTAATTTCATATTTTAATAATACTTTTGGTTAAAGAGAAACTTCTGATGCTTTTGTTTATAAAGCACATATTCATGACTCCTGCTACAGCTTTTAAGTATTTCAACTCCAAAAAGAGGAAGACTGGGTAAGGAAAATACTATGTCACTGATGTGAAAATTAAGAAGGGTGACATGCAGACATAGCAGATGTTTTGAAAGAGAAATCACGATATGAAAAAAAAAGTGCTAATTCCACTCACAAAAACAATTTCAACTAAAACTAGAAAAAACAGAACATAGAATTCAGGTTTTCACTTAGCTCTTCACTCAGATTCATAATTACGACAACAATTTGTGACTGGCCATTACCATGTTCCAATAAGCAAAAAATATCAGATGAAGAAAAGATGAAGTGAGAGAAAATGTCTTTGTTTTTAATGCTAAAGTTTAACAGGAAAAATGCAGGATTTTGAATAAATCATTGGTTAAAAGAATAGTTTAGTGAATTTACTATGTATACTAGCATAAAACTTTATTTAGAGAAGGAAAGAAATTACAGGCAGTAATATTAAAAAATGTCAAGTTGATAGTTTAGTGATTTTTAGTTTCTGTGAGAAACTGTCAACTTGAACTCAAGAGCCATAAAGTTAGTCCTAATGAAAACAAACTCTTTAAAAAATAAACATAACAATCTTAACGAACTCTGAAACCTAAGACTATAAGGTCACAGAAAGTTGTAAATTTTTTGTTTTCACTCCTTAAAAACCACATTTCAGCCTCACCTTTTCTGTCTCCCTTTATGAATAATAAAGCTATTTGGTGACAAAACTCTAAATCCACTATGAATATGCTAATTATATAGTCATTATACTACTCTTACATCTAAGTTAGAATTTGTTTTTTAGCCATCAAGAGAATAAAAATTTTCTCTAAGAAGGATATGTGAACTGACTTATTTCATATGAAGCTCTCCAAATAAGTAGTACCTGTCGATGATATGAATTCCCATGATGAAAGGTTGCATATCTGGACTTTGAGGGTAGCAAAGTTTACACTTGGTGTGGGCGCTAAGCATTGTCCCATCATTCAATATGAATCTATAAGATGGGCTGGAGGCAGTACCACGAGTCATCACTGTTTCAAACAAAAGAGAAACCTAGTTAAAATTCTGACACTTGAACGTTGGGCAAAGGAGAGTTACCAGGCCTATTTCTACCAAAAACTTCATTAAAAGTGCCCTCCCAACTGCTGCCTACTCAGACTCAAAATACAGAATAGTTCAGACAAAACAGGTATCTGAGGGGGGTGCGAAATGATTCCAGTTCAAATATAGCACTTGATGACAAGTTTTAATTTAGTCATACTTGAATGGGTACAACCTCACATAAATGAAGACTATGAAGAATCTCCAAGCTAGGAAAACATCCATTTGAATCTTTCCCTATAATAGGACAACTCTTCAAATGTATTAAGTCTCCATTAAGAACAAGGAAGTACTTTTCTTTTCTTCACTTTTAGTGTTATCTTTAACAAGCTTTATTTTCAGAATTTTCCTGGCTGATTTAAAAAAATCATCTAAGTTTTGATTGGCTTGCAGAGTGCCTTATTCAAATTTAAACTTTCACTCAGTAAAGTGAATCACTACGGTCCCATTTGACAAATTATCATATATATGTATACAGACATATTAATGTTTGAATTTTTGAAGTTTAGTAGGCAAGTTAAGATAAAACCAAGTACTACTAATAAAAGGAACAAGAACTAGGTTAAGGCAGTCAAATAATTTTATAAATAACATCATTTATTTCTGTCTTAAAGTTTTACTAAGACCAGGCAAAATTCTAATCACCAAGGTAAGTACTTAATTAAGTATGTAAAGGCTATTTCAGACTATAATAAAATGTCACTGATGTTTTAGTAATACAATAGAATTATATTTTAATAGAAATTTAATAGATTCAGCTATAAAGGTTAAAAATCATATCCACTAAAACATAAGAATTCCTACTGCAAATGACTATTATAATTTAGTCTGATAAATGCTAGCTCTAGAAAGGGCTTCAACTAACATTTTCTTTTTCTTTTCTGCTTTTTTTTTTTTTTTTTAGATAGGGTTTTACTATGTAGCCAAACTTGAGACCTTCCTGCCTCAGCCTTCCAAGTGATGGAATTACATGTATACACCAAAATGCGTGGCTTAATTACATGTTAAGTAACATGAAAAAAGACTTAAAATGATCAACTAAGTTTTGCAGCTACATATTACTTGAAAGAAACAGAAGATATACTCTATTGTATTAGGTATCCAGTATCAACTGAAGAAAGTAGAATCTGTTATAAATCTATACTATAGTAAATCTGCCTAAATACCAAAAGTAGGGTATAAACCTAATTGAAAGCTTTAAGATTTTATATGCCCAACCAACCACATTTCTTTCCTACATGGCAACTGCAACTAAGTCACTGCCAAATATAATTCATGGAGACATTTAGTATCTAATGAAATAATAAAGGAAGAAAAAGAATCTTCAATGAACACTGATAATTTCTGTGGAAGGATAAAAGCAAATTTGTTACAGTAATTCCTAAAATTATATTAACAATTCCACCTGTTATTACCTAACAATCTATTTTCACCAAAAAGGTAGCATTTTAAAATAAATTATTAACATGAGATGATAAAGCTAAAGATACACATAGGGCCAGAGGAGATAATCTATTTCATGATATTTACTTATACTATTTTATTCATGTCTGTACCATGCTTATTTCTCTTCAGGATCTCCTGATTTCTGCTGGAAATCACTCAGTGAATGGTCTACCTTGCTGCACTATTTAGGATAGTACCAATAGCCATGTGTGGCTATTTAAAATTAAATAATATGTAAACTTGGCTTCCTCAGTCACAATGGACACTGGTAAGTGCTCAATAACACGTGACAAGTGGCTAGCAAGTTGAACAGCGTGGCTCTGAACTTACACTTTGCATTTCAACCTTACTTTTTACTATCAAACATTTCTTCCATATTCGTTTGTGTTTTTCGTCGTACTGGAGTTTAAACTCAGGGTCTTACACTTGCTAGGCAGATGCTTTACCACTAGCCCTCTTCCATACCCTTTTAATGTATTTATTATTCTTTACTAGTTAGAATAAGCAAGGGCTATTACTGCGCTCCATTTTTATTTTCTACTCTCCATTGAATCTTGAAATAAACTTTGCAATAAAATCATCTGTATGTGCTGGCTGATTAATCTTCAATTTAAATCTCATCTTACAAGGTTAATATTGACATATGCTCAACTATTATAACTTCAAAGAACAGATTTTCAATTTTAGCTATGTTCTCAAATACTTACATCTCAATTTATGTTTTTATTCTTATTGAAATTAAGACTTAATTTTGTAATGAAAATTAATGAAAAGAAATTTATTTATTTATAAACCCTATAAAGTGAGAAATAATTAGAAATTTTGGTCTAATATGGGTAGCTTAAGATGTTTAATACAAATTATAGGAAATCAATAATCTTTTGGCTAATTATGCTGCTTAAAGATATAGGACTATATTTAAACTTATAAAAATCTGAAGTTTGGGGGACTTAATATAAGGAAAGGATCATGCTTTCAGTTTTCAATTTAAATTATTTTAGATGATAATACATGGAATAAAACTAAGCACACTGTAATTCGTGCAGCTATCCTTTGAAATGAGAAAGAGGTTACATTCAATACAGTAAAACAACTCCTTTTTCTCCTCCTTTTTCTTTCTTTTTTTTGATCAAACCCAGGGCCTTGCACATGCTAGGCAAGTGCTCTACCACTCAGCTGCTGCCTCATCCCCGCCCAGCCCTTAAAACCTTAATTAATTAGAACGCAGTAAGATTCTTTATAGTTATCTAAAATTCTGGTGCTTGATTGTTCAGATGAAGAAGTAGCATGTGTCAATGAAAACAATAAGCCTAGGAGTCAGATCTAGTCCTGACCTTATTAACAAGTTTAGGACTTAGGCAAATTAACCTTATCTCAACTCAGTTTACTCATCACTAAGATGGATTGTGAAATATCTATCATGGACCCTAGTACATAGTAGGTTTTGAATGAATATTTCCTGAATAACCACTGAAGAAAAAATAAACACATAGGCAGTTTCCAAAGTACAAGCGTCCTGAAACACACACATATTTAGACAATATCTAAACACCATTTACATCCATAGCTTCAATTGTGTCTAACCATCACTGATACTTTGAATTAAGAGATATGTACCAACTCTGTTTTACAGATTTGGTTGGATAAGCATCTATGCTTCAAATTTTCCTCTTAAGTGGGTTTCAAGGTTTAGGTTTGGAATTCTGTTTTGATCAGAGGTTCTGGCCTTGTTACTGATCTAAGTTTTGTCATCTGGACAGCTAGTATTTTGATCTCTGGTTTCTAGTTTCGTTTTTTTTTTTTTTTTTTTTTAAACCAAGTCTTACTATGTATCCTGGGCTGGCCTTAAACTTCCATCCTTTTGCCTCTTCCTCAAGTACTAGGGTTATAGGTATGTAATTAAGTCTGGCTTGATCTCTGTCTTCTTGATCCATTTCTAACTGTTTTAGAACATTAAGTGAGAAGGGATATAACTGAAAGGGTGTTACTGACATGCCAGAAATCCTCCAAAAAACCTTAATATACAACTGTTTTTGTTTTGTTTTGATTCTTCCTAGAATAGGCCTCAATTGAGCTACAGAACAAAGGAAACATTAAATTTTCCCTTCACAGTGGCTATAGAAATAGAGCTATTTGGGAATTTGATCCCTACCAATCTGGTGGTGAAATAAACTCAAACAAGCATGCCTTAGTGATGTTAACTAAATGAGCAGGTATAAAATGTGTGGCAGGGTACTACAGGTCAATGCTGGTAGAGCTTTTTTTCTTTCTGGTGTTTTTCTAGATATATGCAGAAAGAATGTAGGATCTCAAAAATTGATATTAGGTAAAGAAGAAAATTACTACTAGATGTTCTAGGATTTCTAATTACCAATGAGTAAACTCTATTCTATGTATTAAAGTTTCTACAAGAGGAATGTAAACTCATATTTTAAATTTTTCAACAAAGTTTGACATAAAAGATTTTCAGTTAACTCTGTTATATGGACCATGGAGTTAATTACATTACACAAGCCTCAAAGAACATTCTGGTTAATCATTAATATGAGTACTTATGTTTTATAGCAATACTTGCAAACCTCTTGATAATGTAAATTTCTAACTCTGCTCATGATGTTTATTAAAAAATGCAAATAGGTTTATTTTGTGATTATAAGGTAATAAAAAGATAAGCAAAGAATAATTAAAGATAAAGTCATTTGTAATCCCAGCACTCAGAGATCAACGGTTAATCTTCTAGAATTGGAGACATAGAACGACATACAAGGTGATATACTATATATGCTGTGCTTTCTTAGCCTACTTTTTCATATAGTCTATCATGGACATTTCAGATACAAGAATGGTGATCTATCACTGTAAATAGGTAAACAAAACTTTCATAGGACTGCTCTGTGGGTTGGATCGCCCAGCACTTCTCATGATTAGTACTCTCCATAACTGCTGATGGAGTGTTAGGGGAAAAGTATTCTGTGCAAAAATAAGTCTAAGTAAAAAACTTTAAAAGACACCTTTATTATAGAACTTTCTGGAAACTTAAATACCTTAAACATATCTTGTGGATCCTCAAAAGCAGGAGACTGAAGTATTTCCCAAACTTAATTAAGCATGATACATTATTTCCTAGTTACAGCTATTAATATCTTGTGAAACCGAGGTTTACATTTTCCAAACTTCTCTGTAAGAAAATGTCTTAGACTGCAGTCTCTGAAGAAATCTGGTTTAACACTGCATACATGAATCTATCTTATCAGGAACCTTGGGAGGCATCCTGACCCAAACCTTCCTTTAAAATAACGGCTCAGAACTGAACCCAGGAACCTCTTCCAAACTATCTATACCTCCCTGAACCTTTTCCTAGTTTAAACAGTTCCTCCAGCATCCTAATACCCATCTCCCCAGTCTCAATGTAGAACCATAGCTTTTTTTTTTTTTTAACATGGGCTTATAGTATATTTTTATTTATTTATTTTTGGTGGTACCACGGTTTGAAGTCAGAGCCCCACACTTGCTAGGCAGGCCCTCTTACCGCTTGAGCTACTGCACTAGCCCAAACCACAGCTTTAATGTAGCTCATGCAAGTGCTCCTATGGTTCTTTGACTGAAATGTGGCTTTAAATGTGACTTGGAAAATAAAATAGTAAACATTATTTAAAAGTACTTCATGAGTTAGCTCTGCCAAAAGCAGGAGAAAAATAAGCTATGAAATAAAAATTTTAATGTGTATTAGGATTTTATATCAGCTGCTGCCTTCAAAGAGTGAGTTAACGGGTAGGAAAAAAGATGACAGATGGAGGATAAAATTTTTCTTGTCTAAATATCAATCACTGTGAAGTTTTATACAAAATCAAGGATATAGTAGAATAATTTGCCTCACATTTTTCTAATTTATTTATTTAAATTGATAGATAAAACTGTATGCATTTATTTGTACAAGATGACACCTTAAGTACCTATTCATTGCAGATATTTAGATCTAGCTAATCAACAGATCCACACCTCACAGTCACCCTTTTTTGGGGTGAGATGCTGAGGTGAGAGTGGATGCTGGCATCCACTCTGCCAGCATTCCTCAAGAATACAATATACTGTCATTAACTATATCCACTATGGTATACAACAGATTTCTTAAACTTACCTCTCTTATGTAACTGTAATCCTCCAACATCACCTCAGATGCCTCTCCCACCCCAACTATCTCAGCGGCTGACAGCCACCATTCTATTCTCTATTTCTGTGAGATCAACTACTTTATATTCTATATACGAGTGAGATTATGTGGTATTTGTCTTTCTGTTCCTGGCTTATTTCACTTAACATAATAATCTCCAGGTTCATCCATGCTGTCAAAAATAACAGGATTCCCTTCTTTTTTGCTGAATAGTACTTCACTGTGTCCACCACACTTTCTTCATGTCCATTCATTCATCTGTTGATGAGCGCTTAGATTGGTTCTGTATCTTGGCTACTGTATGAATAGTGCTGAACAAACATGGGAGCATAAATGTCTGTTTAACATACTGATTTCACTACCATTGATTATATATATATATATATATATAAAATACCCAGAAGTGGGATTGCTGGATCATATGGTAGTTCTACTTTTAATTTTCTAAGGAACCCCTATACTAGTCTCCATAATGGCTATACTAATTTACACTGCCATAAACAGCATGCAAGTGTTCTCTTTTCTTTACAGCCTCACTGATACTTTTTATTTTTTGGACTTTTTGATAATAGTCATTCTAACAGGAACATGTCTCACTCCTTTCACTCTGACCCTATGTGCAAGAGACAGCATGGAAATTGCAAATGTAACCTCTCTTCATTTTTGACAGACCAATGGTTCTTAAACTTAAGCATACCTTTGAAGCTTAAGATATCTGGACTCTCCCTTATTTGAGTTCTTAATTCAGCAGGTCAACTTTTTTTGTGGGGGGAGTAGTACTGGGGATCAAACTCAGGGCCTTGGAGATGCAAGGCAAGCCTTGTACCACTTCAGCTATGCTCCCAGGCCTTTTTATTTATTTTTTTCATTTATTTTTATTTTTGTAAACCCAATTTATACGCAGGAAAAAATTTCATTCACTTGATGTATCTGAATAGTCTAAAGAAACTGTCTGCCCTGTATCTGTCCATTACGATTCCACTCAATTCGTTCGGGTCATCAAAAGGCAGCTTTTATTCTAGGGAGGTATGGTGATCATTTCGTTTTTGAGACAGAGTCTTACCACTACCTTTGCCCGGGATGGCCTCAAACTCTTCATTTTTCTCTCTCTCCCTCCTGAGTAGTTGGGATTAGGGGTGTACGCCAATACATCTGTCTTGCAGGTAATTTTAGAAGGTGATTCACATGTGTTTCATGCACTACATTTCTCTCACTAGGCTAGATGCTACTGAACATAAGATACCAGAAAAAAAAAGTGCTATATCCATGCAGGTTTGGTAAATTGTCTTTTATCTCCAAAACACTAGCATCAGAGTCATATGAACTCTGGCCATCTTATTCTGAGAAAAACAAGTCATTCTTTTTCTATAAAGAATTCTTTTTCTAAAAAAAAGTGGAAGGAGAAGACATTAAGAAATGACTAATGAGAAAAAGATGTTGGATTATATTTGTATTTCTTTACATTCTCCTCTAAATTATTTCACTTTATATATTAATGACAGATTAGTTATTTATTATACTTTAATCAACCTATTTGTAGAAAATGCTAATGGTTAAAAAACGGTTCAATTGCATCTGTGGGGACCCAAGTCATGGACAAGCAAAGAATAATCTGGCCTACTTTGCCTTAGTAGAAATGAATATAAATTATAGGTAAATAAAAATAAGTCTTCTAAGCAAAGTTTTGGGAGGCCTACCTTATAAAATTAAAGAGGCAGCCGGACACTAGTGACTCACACTGTAATCCTATCTACTCAGGAGGCAGAGATCAGGAGGATCATGGTTCAAAGCCAGTCTGGGCAAAGTTTGACCCTATCTTGAAAACACCCAACACAAAAAAAAAGGCTAGCAGAGTGTTTCAAGTGGTAGAGCACCGGCCTAGCAAGTGTGAGGCCCTGAGTTCAAACTCCAATACCACCAGAAAAAAAAAAAAATCCAAGAGACCTACTTACTAACTAACACTTTAGGCAGCCAGTGGAGACATTCACTGAGTCCCACACCTATGTAAAAGTCAAGTGTCACTCTGAGTACAGGAAGGCACAAAGTTTGCACCCAGTGGATGTCAACTGTTACTTATTGTAATTGTTTCCAACCCTGGCCCTACTTTGTGATTGCCTGGGGAGCTTTAAAAAAAAATACAGATTTTTGGCTCTACCCAGTAAAATGTAATTTTGAAAGGTGGCATGTGTTCAGTAAGGTGCTCATTAGAGAACTACTAATTGGTAGGAAACTGTCCTAGAAGTAACCAGGACTGTGAGATTTATAAGATGGCTTCCTGAAAAAAGAAAAGAAAAGAAAAGAAAAATCAAGCTTATTCTTCCATATGCTACTAGGAAGTGATTGACCTAAAATGTAATGAATGGTAGATACCTTTAAACTGAAGAAATTTAATGTTATGGGGAAAATGTTAAAACTAAAAAGGATGATAGAATAATGAAAAAATGTATTTTTGTTTTTGTTTTTTTAGAAATAACCATAGAAAGAGGTTATATAATTAAAGGTTAGAGAACAAATTACATTGGAAAAAAATATTAGGACTACTATAATTACATGACAATACTTTTAAAGTACATCAAAATCCCTTAATTCTAAATCTTTGTGAATCATCTTAATTCTCAGATAACTTTCCTTATCTTTTCTATAATATTTAATTCCTTAGTGGCAGAGAATATACTTGTCTTCTACTCCCACAGAGTTCACTAAAACATAGTAGTTATTCAATAGTCAGTAACTTCACAGGAGATGGGACAACATGCTTCTTCAGCCAAGAAGTTGACGTGTATGACAGTGATCTCCGCATGATCCAGAAGCCCTCTGACATGTTGCTTCTGCTGGGAAAGACCTTCAAGCACCTCTCTGAAGTCATCCTTGATTCTCCAAGTCAGAATTAATTTATCTTCTTTAGTTATACATCTATTACAGCCTATGTCACACTGATTGTTAGAGCCGTAATACATTCTCCCAATATATTATGAGCTTCTTTGAAGGCAAAACCCTGCTCCTTAGTCACCAGTGTATCCCTGGCACTGATATAACAGAGTGTTCTATGTATGTTAGGGACTTGATACATGTCTGCTGGATGAATGAACAAATGAATGAGTGACCACCATATGACATCCTGTTCTTTAGAATGTGCATCCTGGATTTCAGGATCCACTCATGAGTTACTTTGCTTACCCATTTCTTCCTTTCCTAAAACTGATTATTATAAAACTATTAATTTGGAGAAAATACTTATCAAGCCATAAGTTCTACATAAATACTTAATATTAATAAAGAGCAAGATTAATGAAAATAATTAAGGGAAGACTTTACCTTCTTGGAACAGTTGTCTGGCATAAGATGGCTCTCTGCCCTGTGGTTGGAAAAAAGCATAAATGCATTTCCTCACTAAGTCTTCCCAACCAGTTCTGCCAGCAGCTCTCAGGGAACTTGTATCAATAGAGATGATTTTACCTACACAAAAAAAATCAAAGTTTACAAATCATCCATATTTCAAAACTAACGGCCACATCTAAAGAATATTTTCTCTCCAAATACTCAACAGACAAAAGATTAAAATGCACCATTAATTTTTATTAGCTATGATAATGGAGAATACTAGAGACATGATAGCAATTGTTTTGGTCTTGGAGTGTGTTATACAATAGTATGTCAAATTATAAAATTCAGTTCCAGTCATAGTATAATAACCTGCAGCTGCCAAGATAGATGCAGTTCACATTCCTCTGGCTGGCTCTTTGGTTTTGCTTTCTATATACTGATGACTGAACTGCACTACTTATTGAAGAACCAGAGGCAGTGATGAAATACTTTGTTTTGGTTTAAATTATTTTCCAATAACTAAGTGAAGAGAATATGAGAAAGACAGCCTTTTCCTTTTTACCTCCTGTTAAGCTATAGGTAATATTGTGCTTAAAAATAAAGACTAGAGAAATCAAAGTTAAATCAGAAAAAAATAGTGGAAAGCATTAAAATTTATTAGGCATTGTGCACTGACATGTGCTTTATAAAATCTATTGGTGACTTGCTATTGTTACCAATATTTGATTAAATTTCCTAAGTGGCTATAATAAAATTCTGGGGAATAAGGAACCAATTAATATAGTTTATGATCAATCAACTTTTTTTTCTCTTGAGACAAGGTCTCACTGTGCAGCCCAGGATGGCCTCAAACTTTTGATTCTCCTACCTTAGCCTCCCAAGTATTACGATTACAGGAGTGTGCCACCATACCTGGATTGATTCTTTAGTCTTTTTGTATTACATACATCCATGAAGCCCTGAGTTCAATCTCCAGCATCAAAAAAGAAAGAAGGAAGGAAAGAAGAGAGGTTCGGAGGGAGAGCGGAAGGAAGACAGTTAACATAGCATTTTTTTCACTTGGTATAGTCAGGCTTCTTTATTTTTTCAAATTAGTAGATGAAAAGAGGTATCTCACTGTTATCAAGATTTGAATTTCCATTACTAAAAGGCATGTTTATTCACTATTTTAATTAATGTCTCCTTTTTGTGAATGCCTGATTGTGTCTCTTACCCATGTTCTCTTTTCTCAACCAACTCAAATCATCATACCATGTATGCCTTCTCATTTAGCTAATTCCTTCTTTATATATTCCATTCATTAAAACTCTTTTAAGAGTAGATGGTAGTGAGAACATCAATTGAAATTCAAATAAGAGAATTCTGTTATTTAAGAATAGTTTGGAGAATCCCTGGTGAACACTGCAATTAAAAGTAAAGACAGTTCTGGATTTTTTTTTTTTTTTTGAGACAGGGTCTTACTGTGTAGTTTAGGCTGGCCTTGAACTTGTAGTCCAGGCAGGTCTTCCACATGCTGGGTTTACAGGTATGCATCATCATGCCCACCTTAATTATTTAACCTTGGTCTCAAAGGAGACAAAAGTGTTGGTTATAGCAGGAATTCTAATACTACATAATCTTCATATGCAATAGTGCTCCTCACAGGCAGTGGTGAAGGGTATGTATTCATGTCAGTGCTGGGCCACAAGTGAGCACAAGAGTCTAGAATTATGGGACTACAAGGGAGAAAGTGGTTATCAGCAATGATACTAAATGGGTAATACAGAGGAGAATCACGGATAATTTGGTTTAGAATGCCTCCACTTGCTAGAAGGAAGTTTAACTAACCAACCATCAACCATAATAAACAGAAAAGGCCCTCTGCTCAAATTTCCTGATAGAAGACTTTTCTTTGTGTAAGGGACAAGGACCACTCTCTCAGAGTTAAAAAATACTGCCAAAATTTAAGAAACTAAATGTTTAATATTCATTATAGTTCACTGTTATTTTGACCTAGGTCAATTATATGATACAATAAAATGTTAGCTTTACGCTTTAAACATACTCTGTATTTCTCTGGTATGTTTACGTGTGTACAGTTCACTGATGCTCTTTTAACAGTGCCATGGTGGAAGACAATGGAATGCAAAGGAATGGAATACAATGTTCTGTTTGTGTAACAGGGTAAAGATTTCCATTCTTGACAATCAGCTACCATTCCACTCATAAAACAAGTAAGCTAGATTCTGGAATTTCTGAAGTTTGAGGTAGATCCATAATTACTTAATGACCTAGAGCTTAATTTTACTTTTTAAAAAATTAAATTAACTTAATAATAAATAAATATTTTTATTTATTTATACATTATCAGGTATAGTTAAGTTTTTATGTTGGGTCTTTGGTCAGAAACAAAACCACCAATGTTAACACTTTACTATGGGAAAATACATTCTTCTTTAATTTAGGATTTAATTTGTAGAAATATAAGGAAAAAGTGAAATACACTGATCCTAAATTATCCTCTAACTTTTTTTTTGATACGATTGGGGTTTGAACTCAGGGTTTCACACTTGCAAACCAGGTGCTCTATCACTTGAGTCAGACCTCTTGCCCATTTTGCTCTGGTTATTTCGGAGATTGGATTTCTGGAACTATTTGTCCAGGGTGGCCTTGAACCACGATCTTCCTGATCTCAGCTTCTCAAGTAGTTAGGATTACAAGCATGAGCCACTGGCACCTGGCTTTACCATCTAGATTTTAAGGTTTTCATTTCTGACACTTATTCTGCAGGCTACCAATCACCATTTCCAACAGGTTTTCATTCTGCTATCTCACAAAGTCCTTACTTGGTTTCTTTTCATATTAGCAGCTATTGACACAAAACACCAATTTTCTTTTTTCAATGGACCCTATTCTTCCATCATATAAAATATTTCTGGTTTCCAATAAGGGTTGATTAAATTTTTCCAGTGTGTTCATTACTGGGAAATGGAAAGGAACATTATATGCGGTAGACTCAAAAAGGCAATGAAGAAAGGTGTGGGAACTTATAACCATTATCCTCAGGGGCTGTCTCTCCAAGACACATATTCTCCTTTATACATTCCTCTATCTGTGTTAACTTATCCTCACCTGCTTTTTAGGAAAAAGAGTTGGGAGTTTATCTTTAAAAACACAAGAACAACTTACACAACACAAGAATATATGATTTGGGGACAAAAAAAATCATTAGCAATAAAATGGGGAGAGATTCCAAGATGGCGGCTAGAGGGAGGAAGCAGAAAGTGTGCCTCCTAAAGTAAAATCTTGGAGAGACGCTGGAGATACACCTTACAGGAAAAACCACCGAGAAGAGGCAAAAACTTTGACTCCTCCACACCCCCAGCCAGCGTGTAACATTCCCACTTCACGTTAAACAGAGAAACCAGGAGGGCTCCTGTGCTGCTGCCAGACAGCAGTGCCCAAATGACTTGGGAAGACACGGACCACAAGGTGAGCTAAGCAGCACGCAGTACTCCCACAACAACCCCAGGCCAGATCAGCATAGGCCCCTGGACAGACTGACCCCCACCCAGGGAAAAAAGAGAAAAAAAAACTGAATAATAAGCAATAACAACAAAAAAGACACATAGCAAAGAGGGCGGGGCGCCATGAGCACCGAAGAGGAGGAGAGGGGAAATCCCTCAGGCTTGAGAAGGCAGGAGAGGCAGCACACGCCCAGCCACCGGGAGTGGAAAGCTTCTAAAAGTGGCGGTGGGACGAAAACTCCACAGGAGATGGGGGAAGACCCACATCCCACGTGAGCTGTAAATAGACAAGCCGGCCAGAGAAAGCTGCTGCAGTGTCACCTCCCCCAGTGTGCTTGGAAAGGGGAAAGCATGTAGAAGTGGCTTGCGCACAGGAGAACTCTAAGTAAACAAAGCCTGCAGGGCCAGGTGAGTGTTCAGCTCACTCCTGAGATCTGCATAAATAAAGCCTCCAGCAACAGCAGGCTGACAGCAGCGGGCAGGTGAGTCACAGCCGAAGATAGTCATTCACAGAACTGTCTCCAGACTCTTTTTTTTTTTTCTCCCTACCTTTGATGAGACAACAACCAAACTACACCTGCATGCTGAAAAACTTACTGAAACTGTATTGCATTTGAACTTGGGACACTTTACGGTGTTTTTTTGTTTGTTTTGTTTTGGTTTTGGTTTTTTCCCCTTTGATGAGACAACGACAGAACTACTTCTGAGTGACCATCTGCAGAATTGCAGGCTGAGGGACTAACACCAAAATTATTAAGACTGAAACTTTATTGCATTTGAACTTGGAGATTTTTTTACTTTTTATTTTTTATTTTTACTTTTTATTTTATTTTTTTTTCTCAATCCTCACTTTGTCTCTCTAATGCCTGTTCAGCTTATTGTTGATTAGTACACTATCTCTCCCTGTTTATATCTTTGAAACTTTTGTTTGTTTGTTTGTTTGGTTTGTTTGTTCACTTGTTTTCCCCTCTTTAACTTCTTTGCTTTCACTCTCCTCTCACCCTTCCATTCTAAATATCACCATTGTTATTATTACAAGCTAGAAAATACTTAATTGCACACAGTACAGGGACAATAACAACACTAAGAGCAATGATGGGAAGACAGAAAAAACAAGGAAACCAGTTTCCCCCAGCAAAAAATTAGTACAGGAACCAGAGGGGAAGGAAGAAAACAGATACTCAGATCCAGACTCCAACAAAATGAAGATAAACTATGCCAAAGAACCCAATGAAGCCCACAAGAAAAATCTAACAGAAGAAATACTACAGGTAATCAATGAGAATTTTATAGAGATGATACTGGATAGGGTCAACCAAAATGTACAGGAGACACTCAAGAAATTCCAAGACAACAAAAATACATAATTTGAAAAAGCACAAGAAGAAATAAAAGAAACCATAGAAGCACTGTGTAAAGACTAAAGTGAAACAAAGAACATGATTAAAAAAGAGATAAGTGAACTCAGGACAAAAATAGACAACATTAAAGAGGAAACAACTCAGGATATGGAAAACCTCAGAAAAATGAACGAAACAGAAATGCAAAAGAAAATGGAGGGTCAATCCAGTAGAACAGAACAAACAGAAGACAGAATCTCAGAACTCAAAGAAGAAATGGTAATTA